GTATGGAATAAAATTTAAGAACATGTTTACATCTGCGAAACAGGAGCGGAGCCAGTGCTGTGGGGTTCTCGGGTTGTTGGAACACCAGCGGGACCATCACCAACCATATATTTCCGTCTTCCCAGACGCACCGTATGCATGACACTTTTGTTTAAATAGACACTTTGAACATGCATGTTATAAGATACAATATCGCTCCGTCGATTGACTTACATGGCCATGCATTAAAGGCTACAGTTGATGTTTCAGTTTATTTTAGTCGATAGAGGTATTGGCAGATGACAAAGAGTTTCCACTCAACATTAGAAATGGCACGTGCTATCGTGGTAATCAAGAGTGGGGTTCCCCACGTCAAATAGATGGAGGTAAGCAGAACTTTGACAAAACTCTTCTCTCCCACACATAGCTCTCATCATTCAGTCATTTGCCTATTATAACACGAAAACTCTCTCGTGTTACTAGTTACGATCATCAACACTTTGTTTGGCATATCGGCAACGTGAACTGCTGCACGTTGATTTTGTGTAAAAGCGGTAGTAGGGACTGCACAATATCCATGTGCCCAGACAAAGGTTAAGAAACCAAACTTTCGTAACTATATGAGAACATTGCATGTAATTTTAGAAAGCGCCAACATCACGCTGAATGACGTATCCCAACAGGAGGCATTACTAATATTAAATGGATGTTCACTCGATTGTGCAGCATTCTTTGTGTCAAATTGCACTTTTCAGAAGCCGCAGCCAGGTGAGTTGATAGACTTAGAGAAGAATGTGTGGAATTTTTGCAAGATAAAGGCTTGTTTAAAACAAGCCAATTTGTAAATCCTTTCTTGAGAAGCAGCGTTTCAAGAGGTCACTGTGGTCCGTGTGGTGCTTGAACCCTTCATTTACTCGACAGTTGAGGGAAAGTAGAGCTGGGAAGTGTAATCACCAAGTGTTTTGCATACAGGCACAGTCGATTTGCAGAAGTCGTTTCCACTTTCTCGATTTGAGAAAGGGCAGCCAAATGTCGAAATCTCATTAGCTGTCCAAGGTGCAAGCAGCCAAACTGGGGTACGTGAATCCTTCTCAGACTTGTTGGCCGTACAGCGCCCTCCATTTCTCACAATTGTTGCGCAGCACCACTTTTAACTGCCCAGGATTTTGTGCTCAAAATTCTCTTCATTCTTCTGCATTGCAATATAGGCTGCCCTCTTAGTGAATGGCCAATTGGCGTGTAGATGGGCAGGGACTACACTCACTGAATCTGATTCAACTTTCTGCCGTGAGTCTGTTGCGCTTTCAGTCGTGCCATTTGCCGTGTTCATTCATGCAACTGATGTGTCATTTGCACTTTTTCCACTCATTTAAGGCAATATGTCAAATGATACAGGATCTGATCTGAGAGCATTTGTCCTGAACATTATTCGAAATGACACTGTTAATTATACCACAATTGAGTGGTCTGCAGGGAATACAAGTTTGGCAATAAATATTGGCTACACGTAAGACGGTGAGCGAATATCCCCACTCATTTGCGAAACTATCACTTCTCCTTGCAATGAAATATCCTGGCTAATAACACTTCACAGTGAGGTAACCCCGAAGAAATTAACTGCGCAGCGGACTTAAGCAATACACAGTTCATTCAGAGTAACTGGAAAAATTGCTTTGCTTCAGGCACATCGCCAGAAATAACGTAATGCAATGGTGAGTTAGAGCGCACGGCTATTTCACCGCAGTCAAAATGCCAAGCATCACCTCATGCTTTAAAATGCAGTTCTGCTTTGTGTTTGCATACTTCTTTAACGTACGTGAAGCTCATTAGATTGCTGAGGAGTAGTCAATGTTTTTTCGATATTATAAAAATATTTTCTGGATAATATATATATATACATACTACAATAATTTACTCGATGTAAATTTTAGGATATCGGGGTGGAAGGAGTAGGTGAATTAAAGTGCATTTTGATCAAATTTGAAATGCTAAGGTAGTGGAAATGTTCTCAGTTCCAGAATTGGCAACTCCATTAATTCCTGCCGTATTTTCCGATACAATTAAGCTCCACTACGGGCACGATGTGTTTAAGCATACATTCAGTCCTCAGTCCTTCCTATCCCATACACATCGCCCACATTCCCACTAAAGGCATGTAGCTTAGAATTCAGAAGGCAAATCTACCAGTTTTGTTCAGAAATCATAGCATTTTACTTAGATACAGAGCAAATGTTCCAACACACTTTACTTTTGAAAGCAACAACAATATGTAGAGTGGGTGTGTGGGAAGAGTAAAGAAAAAATTGATTCGAATATTATAATCCAAATAATAGTATTTTGCACATACTGGCGCGATAAAAGGGAAATAACAAGGGTTTTGTTCGTATAACATTGTCAGCTTTATAAAAGTTTACGAGCATTGCGATAGACAGCTATGATAGTGCCCAGTAGGCAACTATGAAGAAAAGTTGAAAAACTCGGTATTCATTGACTTTCATTAGGCTATTTCGAACTAGCACTCAAATAAGTATTTGCTCTCCGTCTACTGCACAAACTGTTCCATTCGCATCGGTGGTAAACAAAAAGCGAATCGGTTCTTACGCCAACCTAACTTGATAAATACGTCGGCTGTTGAGCTACCAAGAGTGGGCCAGTCTAAAATATGCCTATTCCATGTGCGAATCCGGCAGGCACGTATTAAGTAGCCAAACATCAATGAACTCGAGTTGCATTTAATCTAAACTTATTCAACTTTTGATAATTGTGTGCAGCCACAACCTCTTTCGGCAAGTTGGTGAGGCGACTATTTTGATACCTTCCACTACTTTGACACACAAATCCGTTGATACGTCAGCCCAGCTGAATAAACGATTTACTAGTTGCGCTACCAGCATATTAATAAGCCAAGAATCACATGAATTACGGCTGTTTCCAAGTGTAGAGTGGCTACCACTTCTAGGAGTGAGTTGTTTCATTTTGGTCAAAGCACTACAATATGCTCACTATGACCGAGGTTACGGCAACTGTTCTGCTGCAGGGAAGTTAGCTCATGGAAATGCTTTTGCTACATTTTAAGTTAGAAAGCACACACAGTTTTATTAAGTCACTAGCACTGAGACAGTTTTGATAATGCCGTGTCGACGGGTATGGAGAACTGGGTATTCAGTGCCTTTCATCAGACCTTCTTGCACCAGCACTCAAATACGTATTTGCTTTGTGTCTACTTCACAAACTGTTCGTCTAGCGTCAAAAGTAGACAATAAGCCTTCTATTCAATGCACATTGTCACCATTCCCACTCAAGGCATATAAGTTGGAATTCAGAACGTCAACTCACCATTTTTACAGAAACTATTACACTTTAGGTAAATACAGGGTAGAAGAACCATCGTAATATTATTCCAACGGACACTGCTTTGCCTATGAAAACTAGAACAAAATGTGTAGTAGGTGCATGAAGGTGTAAGGGAACATGTTACACGTCCATTAAAATTCCAAATTGCAGCATTGTCTTGTCTGCATTACATAATGAGCTTCATGAAATTTCACGCGCATTGCAACAGACTGCTTCGATAGGGCCGAGTCAACAATTATGAAGAAGTCGGTAACCCGTGCCTTTAATCAGACTTTGTGGCACCTGCACACAAACAAGTATTAGCTTTGTGTCTACCCCACAATATCTACGCCTCGCATTGATAGTGGGAAATAGACGAATCAGTACTTATGTCTACCCAACTTAACAAATACATTGGCTGTTGCGCTACTAAGATTAGGCTGGTCTAAAATATGCCTGTTCCATGTGCGATTCAGGCGGGCATACATTAAGCAGCTAAACATCAATGAACTTTAGTTGCATTTGATCTAAACTTATTCTACTTTTGACAATTGCGTGCAGCCGCAGCCTCTTTGGGTAAGTTGGCGAAGCGGCTATTTTGATACGTTCCACTATTTTGACACATTTATTCATGCTAGTAAATGAGATTGTCTGCTATGATATAACACTTTAAATTCCCTGCCTATTTCTCTATCCCAGGCCCTGAGGTAACGCACACTACCACGAGTGAGTTGTTTTATTTTGGCAATATTATTCCACTGCAGAGAAATTAATACATGGAAATTCTTTTGCTGCATTTTAAGTTAGAAGGCTCACATTATTCATCCAAGCATTGCATGTGAATGCCAATGCATTCAATCTAAATTTATTCTTATTTTGATAATTTTAAGCAGCCACAACTTCTTTCGGTGAGTTGGTAAGGCGAATATTTTGATCGTTTTCACCAATTTGACACATTTGCTAAAACCAGTAAATGTGTTTATCAACGTATATATATATATATCTTAATTTAAATTCCTCTGCCTACTTCCATCTTTTAGAACCTGGGGTGGCATCCAATTTCACGAGTGAGTTCTTTTATTTTGGTTATTTCAGTCTACTTCTCATGTGGCCTAACTTGCTTCTACTAAATGAGCATTTCATTAACTTAGGGTACCACAACTTACCTTTGCCTGAGATTACGGCAACTGTTCTAGTGCAGAAAGTTATTACCTTCATTAGTTTAACTGCACTTTATTCAGTTCCTGGAATTTTTTCTTAGGGATTTTGCACTATTTGAATGCACGATTTTAAAAATAGGCATTTTTTTGTGTATAATGAAGATAAAATAACTATGCAGTCCTGCTTTCATGCATTGGTTTTTTTGTTTTAGCTGTAATTGCACTGCTGTCAATGCTGATGCTTATGAAAACGCTAGCCGGTTGAGCGAATGAGCAAACAAGCGCAACGATGGAATGAGGACCATAAAGAATCAGGTGCTTTTTTACTAAGTTGTTACCTATAAATCTATCGACAACTTTTCTTTTATTGCCAGCACCACGTGCCCAGCAAATTCAACTCGTATCCCGCTCTGACACTTTAACGTCAATCTACCTCATCTTCCCTTATAAACGACTTCAAAAATATCTGACTTCGCCCTTCTTTCTTCTTTATAATCTTATTTGTCTTAAAGAATTTGCCTCAAGGCATCCATTTGTGGGTTTTTAAATTCATGTCTGCGGGTTTGAACACAGGCTATCCTAATCTTCCCATCCAGTCATAAGTTGGAAAGTGGACAGATAATATATCAGTAGCTCACGTTGACCTTTGTAAAATACAGAGAATTTAGTAGACCTTAAGGTATATTAGCATACGCACGTGCGTTTGAGACTCGTTGACGTGGCATTCATGGTCTTGCTACTTAGTGAATGCATGAATGGTTTGTTCCATCAGGTGAGTAGAGCGCCGCAAACTATTTTAACCTTGCACCAAATTGTCACACCATACTTGTTCAGCATGTTATGCCATCTTACCGCATGAGACGGCACTACATGCTTGAGTAAGTGACAAGACAAGTCTTGAGGTTGAAGGAGCTGTGAATACTAAAATGACAACGAAATGAAGCCAAGTGTACGCACACGATTTCGCATTCTTGAAGCACTTTCTGACACAGCATCCCTCAAGTGATCACAAAGCTGTAGCCATAAGATTGCATTACGTTGCAATTAGCACATTCGTATGTTCTTCAAAAAAATAAGAAGGATAGGCGTGAGCTCCATCAGTGCATCTGCTTCAAAACAGTTTCGCTTAGTATCTTTGAGTAGTCCGTGCAAATTGCCCCGTTATAAATTGACCGGGTTTGCTATAAAGCCATGTAGAACTGGGGTTAGATTTGCAATTAATAGTTGAAAATAGGTATTAGACTACTTTGGTTTTAGTTGACAAGTTGGGCTATAAAATTTAATGAGTGGTGTTTGAATGGTCGGTTAGAGGGATGAATAAGTGACGCCACTGTGTCTCCCCTCATCCCACTGTTGGATGTTACGCGGACCGATCATAGGCTATTCGGTTTTGATAGAGCAAACCTTAATACCGATACACTTTGTCCTTTTTATCGGCTCTGCCAGGAAGTGGATTCTTTTCTTGGCCTACAACTTCTTGCACATTTGACTGAATGGAAATTGGGAGAAGTTGAACTGGTAACTGAAGGCCATTTCCAAACTATCCTTTCTATGTGCTATCTTTATAGCTTAAGCCTATTAATTGCAAAAATCTTTTTACCATTAGCACAAGTACTATTTTTTAATCATTTTGATGTTTTGCTTCCAGAAATGGGCACAGGATTTGACTGTCCTCATTGCCTTAGCCACGCATTACTCAATTTTCAACCGTGACGTCATGGCGTCAAAAAACTGCTTAACGTACAACCAAGATGACCGAACCTCGTCACATGAAACAAGAATTGCTAAGACTCTGG